GCCCACTCCACTTTCACTCCATCAAAAAAAAACCAACAAAAAAAAAACAATGGAAAAATATCCTCAGATGAGGATTAACAACAACAATAACAAATCTTAATATAGCCCAGCCAGTATGGCTCAGTTGGTTAAGCATGCTCCTAACACACCAAGAGGTTGCCAGTGATTCCTGGTCAGGGCACATGCCCAGGTTGCTGGCTCAATCCCCAGTAGGGGGCAGGCAGGAGGCAGCTGACTGTCCTCTCCCTTCCTCTCTCTCTAAAATCAATAAAAACAGCCCAGTTTGGCTCAGTGGTTAGAGCTTCAGCTGGCGGACCAAAGAGTCAAGGGCACATACCTCAGTTTCGGTTTAGACCCTGGCCCTGGTCTGGGTCATGTGGGAGGCAGCCAGTCAATGTGTCTATCGGTCGGTCGGTCTGTCTGTCTCTCTCTCTCTCACCCTCCCTTCCTCCCACTCTATCTGAAGATAAATGGAAAAATATCCTCGGGTGAGGATTTAAAAAATAATAAAGTAAAATCAATAAAAACATATATCTATTTTCTAATCTTAATATATACTTTAAAATTTTTTCCACTTATTTACTACTGAGTTATCTCTTCTCAACATTTTTGTAGCATCTTTTGTTTTCAGATGGTTTGGAGTTTTTGTTTTGTTTTGGTTTGTTTTTTAAGTGAACGATCATTCTGTCAAGCAGTCAACACATCCCTGAATTTAACAGCATGAACAATTACTAAAAAGTATCATAGCAAAAGGATATTTGAATATAAAGTTTATAAATATAAACAATTTTATAATACCACTATTCTAACATATAAAATGTGAAACTTTACTATAAATTATAGGCCATTTCCAAATAGTTGAATCAAAACTGTATCATATTTAACTCTCAATAACTTGAAAAGATATTTCCATTCTAACCAGCACCTCTACACCAAAAATCTAGGTTTCCACTTATTCCATGAATTTAAAAGGTCAAATTCCAGTAACAAAATAATTTAGACTCTATGCTGTCTGCCTTGATCCCCAACAGGACCTAAATCCTAAAGGCACTATTCATGGTAGGCATCTAAATGTTTGCTGAATAAATTATGAATAAATGAAGTAAATGAGCAAATTAACTTATAATGATATCTGTACTTCAAAAAGAAAGAAATTTAGAGGGACATCTGTAATACTTTAAACAACAAAGATAAATTTTTTAAAAAGAAATTTACAAGGAGAAAGATGTCATTTAAGCCAGTTACACACTATCACTCTCACCTAAATCCCTTTTTAAGGGAAAGCTACATTCTGTCCCAAATGAAAGCACTCTATTATATCCATGCATCCAATCCCAAACAGCAAATGATAAAACTTCAGTGACAACTGAAATGAAAATTAATAAGCTTTGAAACTATATTTTAAGAATAAAACAAAATGTTATGTAGACAAACTATTTTTTAATGAATCTCAGGTAAACAAATTTAGACTATTCATAATCTTTGGTTTCTGATACATTCTTACCACTGTTTCAAAGTCAGTTTTAGAATTCATTCTATGACAGAGAAAAAAGGAACACAAACAGTGAATGGGGTGAGGGAGGAATGTGTCCTGTCGCCATTAGAGTATGTGCTATTAAGCTATACCAAGAACATTCAAAATTATGCATATGAGTGCATTGATAGGCATTATACATAACAATTCCCAAGAGGCAGTAGGTATACAGCTATTACAGTAAATCTGGAGCCAGACTGCCCAAGTTCAAATTCTAGTTCTATCACCTACTATATCTCACTTGGACAAGGTACTGACTCTTTTTTTTTTTTTTTAATCCTCACCCGAGGACATTTTTTGATATTTTGTTCAGATAGAGTGGGAGGGAGAGAGAGAGAGAGAGAAACATCGACGTGAAAGGGACACATCGAGTAGTTGCCACCCGCACAACCCAACCAGGGCCGGGGACAAACTACAACTGAGATATGTGCCCTTAGAGGGAACCGAACCTGGGTCTCTCAGGACCGCAGGCTGATGCTCTAACTGCTGAGCCAAACCGGCCAGGGCCTGACTCTCTTTTATGCCTCAGTTTCTTCATCTGTAAAATAATAGTACCTACCCTCATTGAGTTGTATGAGGATTAAATGAGTTAATAAACTTAGCTTTAAAGTAATGCCTGGCACACAGTAAACACATGACTAAGTTAAGGAAATAAATAAACTCACCATTAACTCCTACAACCTAAAGCTAGCTCAGATATTTCTCTTAGAACATGGATAAAACTTCTAAATCACAGTATGCCACAGGGTCTCTCCACTATCTATCAATGTGAAAACTTATTTAAGTCCAAAAGTCTGCACAAAAACTCTTAAAAATATTTCTACACAGCTGATCTCATTGAAAAGAGAAAAAAACCACTCAGCTGCTGAAAATCTAATATACAGGTCTAGAGTTCCTTCCAAAGGTTAAGATCAAAATAAATAAATAAATATTAGAATTAATATAGAAAAAAAGTAAAGAGGAACTTGCTCAAGTAACTCCACAAAGTACCTGAATTTCATCTCTCACCCCATAGCTGACCAGGCCAATAGATATATTTGCATTCCACTGAAGATAACACCCATTTTAGTTCCAAGCCATTTCAGTGCTAAGCAGAGTGCCTGGCCCACAGTTGTTTAATATCTATTAGATGTTTAATATCTATTTGCTGAATTAATGCCTAGATGTGAAGCTATTTCTGGCCTATATTTTCCTTTCTCCGTCACTGTAAAAAATATACTCTGTATAAATTTTTTGAAAATATCTAGGTTCATAACAGCAAGCCAATCAATTCCACATAGGAATCCATTGGCTAGTTTAACAAAGAGGAAGGAAAGTAGTTAGAATAAAATAAAAGAAGATATACACTGTTATCTGTTTAGAGGAGGAATAATTCCTCACCCTAGAGTTCACTGTATTATGATTCTGAATGTGAGTTTTTCATATCTTTGGGGAAAAGTCACTCAGGAAATTCACTACTGAAAATAAGGCTACATTGAAAAATATAAACAGATCCTATGAACTCTAATTTTGTAGATATTATCATGCAACTAGTTTTCCAAGACCAGTACCACATACAAAGTAGTCTACTCAATGAAACTCAACTTTCCCAAATGTATACTCCAAATTTAGTTACTTCGGTTAGTAGCACTATATATTAAAATTATGTAACCAAAAACACATTTCTAACCAAAGCACACCAGCAGATCTCAGCTCAAGCTGCAAACTAAGGTTGGATTACATAGTTCTCAAGATCCCTTTCAAAAGTAAAATCCCAGGGTAACAGGACTCAGATTTGTCCTACACTAACTGCACTGCACTAAACTATCTTTTTAAAATATGCACAACTGACACTTTATGTATGGCTAATATTTTTAAAAATTAAAATGTCTAACTCAAGCAAGGTAAATTATAATACAAGCAAGCATCCAGGTGTTCTAACAAGAATTTATGATACCCAATTCACAGATATGACACTGAATTCATCCTAAACTATAAATTATTCCCTGCTTCCATGCTGTTAACCTGTAGACCATTTAAAAACAGTTGTAGGACTCAGTTGTTATATTTCAATTCATTTCAGCCATACACGATTAAGAAACAGTCCTCACAGATAAGAGTTCTTATAGCACTGAACAGAATAAAGCATTTTAGTTACTTGTCCACCTTAAATATTCAATAACACACTCTTAATAAATGCTTAAATAATACAAAATCATTTAAGGGTAATAATAAGAAGATAATGTTTCTATTTCAAAATTCACAGAGAAAATTTAACCCTAAAATAGATCTCTAAAAATTTCAAAGAAAAATACTGTTAATTTTCCATTATTATTTAAACAAAAACCTATAGATGGGTTATTAACTGCATTACATTTAGATCAGATTGCAAATATTTTTATACAGGATGGGACAAAAGTAGGTTTACATTTGTTCATATGGAAAATAATACAACAATTAATAAATAATATAATAAACTCTGTGTTTCTCATACTCACAACTGTAAAACTACTTTTGGCTCCACCCTGTACTCAATGTTAACTTTACAATCTTCTTATCCTAGAAGGGAACTCCATGATCTTAAGCAAATGAAGATTATTTTACTACTGATCACAAAGTGTACAACTTAAATTACTACCACATTCCACAGAACTACAATTCAGAGCAATTGAAATAAATATACAACTAGGACACTAGGACAATGTAAAAAAACAGCTATTAACAAAATTATCCTCACCCACAAATGTCTACTTAAGGACCAAAAGATAGTATTAAGAAAATATTCTTTTAACTGCACAAAATAAGAGCATAAAACATAGCACAGGAAGGTATATCATCTGTGCATCAAAATACCCAACTGCCCAGACCTTTACTAATATATATAGGATAATGTATTCCTGACCCATGTAGTACACCTGTCAGAAATAACAACATTTAGAACTCATCATATGCAAAGAAATAATATATGACAGATAATTAGAATATAAACAGGAGAAATAAGAATTGCTAAATTTGCTTAGCTATTAGTATAGGTCAGGAGAATCAGTCTCATTCCTGTCTAGTGATCATCTGCAACAAAAAATAGAAAAAGGAAAAGAATACAGGTTCTTAGAGCTACCTGCTGGTATCAAATTCATGTCTCCAGCATTTGGCTGCTCATTAACTTCCAGCAGTACAGTATTATAAAAACTTTTATGCAACAATTTTAAAGTTGCATACTACTTTTTAATTCTAAACTAAACATTTTTTTTCTAGTAGATCAATAGCCTACACTTTGAATCTTAGGCATCAAATATTTCAAAATATCAGAACATTTAGCATCTATTGAGTTCTTACACCTAGAACTCACCAGTAAAAAAACCAGAGCTAATCATTTCACAAGTCTCTAAACACAAAACTTGTGTACCTTCTATATTACTTCCTAGGAACATGACTTTATAGCATGCTACATTAGCTCTGTGAACACTGGTGCATATACCATTCTCACCTTATCCTTTTCATGTGGAAGGAGTGACACTGGAGGTAAAGAGGAAAGAGACTCACAACTCTCTTTCCCATCCACATTGGTTGCTTTAGTGTTGAGCCGATAAAGAGGTCCATCTTTAAGGAGTCTGCCATGGCCAACGGCACGTTTAATAGCCAATCGTAACTGCTGGTGAAAACCAGAGGCAGCACTGCCTCCAAATAATGCAGACACATCCTTCTGACCTTTCAAAAAACGTTCAATGCTTTTCAAAGTTGAGCCACCGGCCTCTGCCAAGCCATCAACCGCCCGCTTGATCAGTTTATTCCAATCTACATTTTGTTTATTGTCCAATTTTCCATGGTTTCGAGGTTTAGGAAGTGCTATTCGCCCAGGGTTATCAGGATCTTTATAGGAATTGAGACCTTTATTTGACACTTTTAAAATTGTTCCATCTTTAACACTCAACTCCAATTGTTCTAAAACAGTTTTACGATCCAAGCCATGGGATGAAGACACTGCATTGCATATCCTTTCTTCCGAAGGACGCTGTTTCTGCTTCTTCACTTTTTTGATGGCTTCCAAAATCCATTCCGTATACAGCGGGTTAGCGAGTTTTACCATGGTGAAGGATTCGTATATCCATAGAGTCGTTATCCCTTATCCTGATGCTGAGTAAGTTTTACACCATGGAAAACAACATTCTCGGAGGCGGGGAACCAGTTAACCATAGCATACAAGTTTTTTGGCCCAAGTCCTTCCTCCTTTGATAAAATAGAATGCCTCCCCACTTTACTTTAGAAACCTAAACATGTTATTTGAAATGTCTTCAAACTTCCCAATAAATTTCTCAATAGCACCACACACGTGGGTCTCTTCATAAAGTTGTAAAAACTCAAGAACATCTCATTCCCAGCAGAAAAATGTGCATCTTATGCCTGAAAAAAATTAAAACAAAGTCAGTTTTCTATCAAGGCCCATTTTGTGAATAAGCTATAGAAACATCCTTGTCTTTAAAAGCAATCAAATAGCAAGTGTATATTCAGCACCTGTAGGAATTTTAACCTGTTTCTATCAACATTTCAAAATAATGTATGTAAACCACTGAGATAAAAAAGAAAAGAGAAAGCTGAATAATTAGGATACAATGACGAAGTAAGATGCACTATGAATGACCTTAGGCTACAAGTAAACAGAGGGTGGGTGGCTATTCTGTACTCCATAATCTCTGCTCACCAGTCTATGAACTGAAACTCTTCCTTGACATCTTTCTCCAAGAAACTATTCAGCATTTCAACAAGTATCTGGACTAGCAGAAAGAATCCTGTAATGAAAGAAAGAGTGAATCTTTCATCCTTTAAAATTCCAGACATTCAGACTGGATAAAAACAGTCAATAAGACAGACAGAAAACCAATTAGAACATTTTAACTATTTCATGTATTAAAGAAATAACTAATACAATTTACACAGGCCAAGTTCATATTTTAAGTACAATATTACCTTAAACATTCCAAATGGAAACAAAACTAATACTGAAAATCATCAAATGTGAAAAGTACTTAAGGAATTTTTAAATAATCCAATATCATTCAAATTTTAAGAATTACATGTCAATACCTTCTCATAGCCAAATATATATTCAATATACTTGGAGGGAGTAACAACTGTCAAAATGTTCATAACCAATCTACAGATAAACTAGAAATGAGAAAGTCCAGAATCACTGTGTTCAAATGCACACCCTACATATGCAATGTACGGTATAGAAAAAACACATGCCCTGTTTGCGGGTTTAAAGAGATCTCACACAGATTCAAGAATGCTGTCCTGAAATAAACATTAATGAACAAAACACAAACATAAATATACTGCCTCTCCAGGATCAAAGTCGATATTATTCTTTCAAACGAAAGAATCTGGCAGATAGAAATCTTTCTTGAAGCACACAAATAATGAATCTAAATAACTCCTTTGCTTCCAAAAATAAATTAACTAACTTAAAGTGTTTTTTAGACCTCTGCTCTGAGCACTTACATTACAACATCAACAATGCTAGAAAAATGGCTCCCACAGCAATTATTCTTAAGACTGACATTAAAATCCAAAGGAAAGCCAACAGATATTAGGAAAGGAATAGTACTATTAACGCTGATAGGAAAGAAATGGCTTAATTAAGCAAACATTCAAACCTGAGCCAAGATTTATTTTTAAAGTATCTGACTAAAAAGAAGCCCCTGAGAGAGTTATGCTTCACTTTGGTGAGTCTTAAGAGACTTGAAATCATAGTATTGTTACTCCACGAAAGTTTATTATGTACTTAACGCTAAACTAAATGAGAAGCTACAACCTGAGTTTCAGCTAAGAACGTTCTAAATGATTAAGCTCGCAGGTAGAAGAATGAATGACAGTTACTCATTGTCTTTGCGGCGGGGATGTTCACCACTCTCCAGGTCTTCCCAAAGTAAAGCGCCTGCAGACTTGAACTTTTAACTCTGAAAGTGCACCAGCCGCTTGAGAGAAAGCACAACTTGCTTCCGACGATCCTTCCCGGTCTCCATTCCCCACCCCCAAACACATCTTCGCGCTCTCTTTTTTAAAAGAGCAAGTAACTTTAAAAACTTCAAACAGCACAACTTGAAGCTTGCCAACGGGTACGCTGTTCCCATTAAATGGAAACAGAACCCGAGTACTAAATTAACAATGAAATCACGTGAAAGAGTTAAGAGCAATGTATCTCCCATTCCCAGCTCCTTCAAATCCTAAACTCCGCAGAGGCCGCTTCCAAGGAGGCTTTGGGGCACGCAGGCTGCCCGGGAAGCCTGACAGGTCAGGCAGCTCCTGTCCAAACCGGCCGACGGTTGACAGGCAGCCCGCCGCCACCCCTCCCGGCTCCCGGGCTGACAGCCCGACAGACACAACACCACACGTGCTGCCTCCTCCGCACCACAACACCCGCCAGCCTGTCACCCCCACTTGCCGCCACAGCCCCGCTGGGATCTCCGCACACCAAGCCCGAGCCGGAGAGCGAGCGCCGGGAAACGCGGGCAGGCGGGGCCGCGGCCGGCTAGGGCGGCGAGCGGCCGGGCGCAGGTGGGGCCAGGGCGGTGGGCGCGCCCCCGAGGGAGAGCGGGCTCGCCGGCACAACCCAGCCCGAGGCTCCGCGGCCTGGGCCGCTCTCCGCCCGCCCACCCGCCGACTCCCCCGGCTGCGCTCGGCCCGCGGGGGCGGGAGTTGGGCCTGCTGCGCGCGGGCCGCGGGGCGGGGGGAGCCCGGCGCCGGCCGGGCGCGAGGGGGCGGCCGCGGCGCCCCAGCCCGAGGCCTGGTGCAGAGCAGCGGGAGGCGGCACAGGCCGCGGCGGGGCCTGCAGAGGCCCGCCGACCCCGCGAGGCCCCTAAGCGGGCCCCGGAACGCATCAGCCCCGGGCTTCACGACCGAGTGCGGTCAGGGGTGGCCCCTCGGCTACTTACCGGGGGGGGAGAGAGCCGGGATCTCGGGGCCCCGGGCCGGACCGCGGAGATGCCCCAAACTGACACGACCGCCATCTTGGAGACAGTGAGCTCCAGTCGGGGGGAGGGGAGGCGAAGCGGCGGAACAGCCGCGGGGGGAGGGGAAGCATCGCGAGGGAACGGCTGTCTTGGGGAGGGAGCGGGAACAGCCTGGGAGAGAGGAGAGGGGGAGGGAGAAGGGGAGGAGGAGGGAACGCGGGAGGGGGACGGCCGAGGAGCGGGAATAGCTGGGCCGAGAGCCGGGAAAGGCCGGAGGGCGGGACGGAGTAAGTGGGAAGAGCCAGCCGGCCGGGTCACGTGGGGCCGGTACAAAAGGCCAAAGCTAAAGTGGGAGGAGGACCTGATGGGGCTGGAGGCCAGCAACTCCGGGCTCCTTCTTGCCTTTCTCGCGATTAGGTCAGGCGAGTACTAGGGAAAGAAGGAGATGATGTATCCCCATTACACAGCTGGGGCAACTGAGGACAGACTCATAGGTAGATTAGTATCAGTGTGGCACGGAAATCCGGTGGCCAGATGGAATCTAAACTCTTGATGGCGTCTGTGTTTACAGTTAGCAGATCCTCCCTGCCCACCTCTGTGCCTCACCCCACTTCCACAGTGACTCCTGGAACCTGAGGTCCGGAGCTAGGTCGGCGGGGAGTGGGCAAGAGCAAGGAGGAAGTTGCCTCCCTTCATCTTTCCCTTTCTGCTCGCATCACTCACCCCACTCATCTCACTGGTACTGTAGGAAAAAGAGGAGGTGTGATGAGTAGGAGAGAGACGGTAGGAACTTTAGACACCCATTTCAACCTCTGTCAAGTCAGCACAATGATTTCAATTCTCCCCACAACTGAGACACTTGTTGGACCTTACTGGAGTCATTTTTATAGCAAACAGCATAGACTGGGGTCCTCAAACTTGCACAAGGTCACTCAGCTGTTTAGTGGCACACATCTGAGTGTGAAGCCTAGATCTGCCTTACTCCAATGCCTGTCTTCTATTCATGCCCTATGAAGAATTGCTTTTGCTGAAATTATGGCTAAACCACAAACTGGCACTTTTCTATGGCCTGTCTGTCCTCTACTGACTGCATATGTTTCTTTGTCTTGTCTCTCATCTAGTTTAAACTGCTTCAGGCAGAGATTGAGTCATACCTTTTTTTTTTTTTTTTTAACTGCATTCACTGGAAAGGCCATAAATGACAAGTGAAAAGACATACTAAATCCTTAATATTTGCGTGTGTTTTCCTGCTACTAGGCCTTTATCTGCTTCCTGACCTCTGCATAAACTGTTTCCCCTAACACCTGATTTTATCCTAATTTTACCTCTTTAAGACCACCTTCTCACTGCTTAACTTCAATATTTACTTTATGATCTTCTGTTGTATTGACCCTTTGCCCTATTTGTTTGGCACTTGATGTGTGGTCCTTATGTATATTTTATTAATATATCCCACATATATGCTCTTCTAGGATGTCTCTCTGCATCTCCATGACAATATTGTACAAGCAGTACAAACTAGTGAATGAACAATTTTAGGCCACTAAGAGCAGTGGAATTTCTACCCCCAACTCAAGCCCTGCCATGTTTATACCTCAACCTGTCCTTTTCTATCTCTATAGCTTTTCTCTACTCTAATTCTTAGACTGTCTAGACTATTCAATAATAGCATTAAAACATATATATTCAGATGATGGTCCAGCCAACTCAATATCCTAGAACTGACGCTGATAACATAAGTGTGGTGTGATGAGATTTACTGAATCACCCTACTTCCCAGCCCCAGCATCAGGTTAGGAGAGAAATTTGGAAATGTAAAATAATCTATTAGAAAGGATATTTTCCATCCTGGATTATTCAGACAAACACATTCTCAGGTAAAATGAGAGCTATTTGTAATGAAAATACATACAGGAATTTTAAAAGGTTTTTATTTCCCAAAGAGAAGGGCTAAAATCATATTACTAGAAGGAAAACTAGTTCTTCATGTGAGACTAGTGTGTGGTCTTCAGAAGAAAAATAATATGTACTGAGATGAGCTGTTTGCCTTTGAATAATTTGGAAGAAAACTAGCCACAGCTATTCCTGTGAAAAGACCAAACTGGAGTTTAAGCACACAGTAGCAAGAATTTAAAACAATTTGCAACAACAAAGCACAGTTTAGTTTTTCAAACAACTTCCCTGGGGAGTCTTCCACGGGGAGTCTTTGCTTTACATTTGCATTACTTAAAGGCACATTGTGGAAGACTCCTCAAAAAAAAAAGGTCTGCAAGGAAGACAGATTAAAGTCCTCATCTTTTGTATGTTAAAACCAAACCAAGGCTCTGAATGGACAGCTTTTCTTGCTTCAAACTTTACTCAGAATTCAGCCCTGCTGGGCTGGCAGCTAAAAGTTACTTCCCTCTTCCACAGTTTGCTGTCAAGAATCCTTGCCTTTTCTGTTGTAGTTGGTAACTATATTTTATGCAGAATCTAGCCACACCCAAAATTGAAAGGTTGCTTTATCTTTGTTTCAACAGGAAAAAATTTTAGTCCATTTACATTTAATATAATTATTGAATTTGGATTTATGCCTGCATCTTACTATTTATTTCCTTTTGTCCACTTACTTTATATCCCTTATTCTTTTGTTTCTTGCCTTATTTTTAATTAGTTAAAATATTTTAATTATACCATTAACCTTCTCTGTTAGCTTATTGATTACACATTTTTTAGAAATCTTAGAGATTACAATATGCCCGTTGACTTATTATACTCTAATATAAATGATTACTTATACCACTTTCCCAAGAACTCTAAGACCTTAGAATACTATGCTTCCAATACCCTTTCCTTTTTGTGTGTTTTGTTGTCATTGATTTAAATTAAAAATATGTAGCGGTTTTTGTTTTTTAATTGACTTTTAGAGAGAGAGGAAGGGAGAAAGAGAAACATGTGAGAGAGAAACATGTGAGAGAAAAACATCACTTGGGGACTG